TGTATATCAAAAAATGTTAAAGTGCAGGACGATATTCTAGCTCATAAAGACATAATTCGTGCTATAGATATTCATCGAGAAGCTATAACGTTCGTATTTACATATTTTGTAATAAATGTATAGTATATGGAATAATAGACTTTTGTTTTTAAAGTTTCTCTAACTATCTAATATCCAAATTTGAGATATCATTCATGTTTTTAATCGCATTCGGAGTGATTGGTTTAAGCTTAAATATTTTTCGAGTAAGTCATTTGTTTTTATTTATAAATCCACATCTACTAATTGTCATGTTAATTCTTTACATTGCTTATGTTAACAATTTTATTATTGTCTTTCTACTACCAACTTTGATTAAGAATTTTAAGGTTACAATTCTAATATAAGAGATTAAGTGAGTTTTGGATTATAATATTTTTAACATGCCCACTGATTCAATTTTATAATGTATGATTTTCAAATGCACAGATTTGGATTCTCACATTAAATCAATTATAATAAAAGAGAATAAATTACTATTAATTTTATAGTCGTTGAGTACATTATAGCCTTTATAAAATTTAATCGGAAAACTTTAATGGTATAGGTGATAGAAGTGTGCAATAATTAAATTTATTTTTAAAAAATGCAAACAGAGTGATTTAATTTATCAAAGAATAATGTAATAAAAACATATATGTATAATAGAAATGATAAACAATTTATAATACAAGTGACAATTGTAAATTTGATTTACAAAATGAGTGAGGTTTAATACATTAAATTATAATTGATCAATTTTGTACTAAATTTTGCCTACGTTTATACTATGCTCTTCATAGAAATTAATCTTAGTGACATTTGGTATTAGGTCTTTCAAGTTGCATTATTCGGATATAATATTGAAGAATTGTTTATTAATCTAGTATTTGCAACTCTGACTTTTCTATATATGTTCTTGGCTAATTTTGTCGGACAACAAATTATAGATCATAATAACCACGTATATGCCACTGCGTAAGTAATACACGTACTTTATATTATATATTCAAATTAGAAATTTAGAAATTTATGTACTATCATTAAAGAGAAAAATAATGTACTAATTTTGTATGTGTGTGTGTGTACATACTAACAATAAAACTCTACTCTTTAAATATTATCATTTTTTTTAAACTGTATATTGTTATCACTTTTAGATACAAAGTCCAATGGTATGTAACTCCTTTACACATACAAAGATTGATACTGTTAATATTGCAAAGAGGTAATAAGAGTTTTGGCTTGTCTGTGGGTGGATTGTTCATAGCATCTATAGAATGTTTCGCCACGGTACAAAATATTTTATATACCACGTTTTACATACCACATTTTATATACAATTATTAATTACGTATAAATATTCATGTTTTAACATTAATATAATATTATATATGTATATATATATATATAAATTTCGTTTCATAACATATTGAATAAAACTTAATATATAATAAAGGCAAACATAATTTGTTATAGCTAACCAACGCATCCGTATCTTATTTCACTATCATGTATTCCATGCGATAATAACAACGTAATATATTAATATATTAACATAATATATTATATAACATAATATATGTATATGAATTAATGTTATAACAATGAAAAGTCAATGAAAAAAAGAGCGTACCTACGATATAACTCAAATCTAAAAAACAAATACTGTTACATAAACGAAACATTACAATGCGATAATGTGAGATAGAAAAAGAAGTTTTTATAAGGACCCTCGCTTATGTAAGAAAAATATAATATATATTTCTATTGCACGATACTGTACTATTTCCAAATTTTGTGATAAATATGAAGCATATTCTGCAATAATCACTCTTGATATGTATTTTTTTTAAATTCATTTGTAGTTTACCCTGTTGCAGTTAAACTATATTACAGACTTGCTTTAAATTATAGAAACAAAATTTGTATAGAAAAGAAAATATAGAGAATATTTAATGATTATAAATATGATACTCTGTGATAACTGAATGTAATAATAACGACTGACATTTATAAGGCTTAATATTTATATCTATGCATTTATTATTGGTTGATTTAAACATATCTTTTCATTTTCAGCTTTGTTTAATAAATAGTCAAAATACAACAAATGGTGAAATATGCTTTATAATTCATACTTATATAAACGAGAGAGTAATGAAGTATAGTTGAAAAAATTTTATTATTATATAATAAATCATGTATATATACAAATGTATGTACATACATAACGAAATGAAGCACATGTTTAAAAAGCGTTGAGGCGTAGCCAGTGTGCATGCAGTTATTACCACAGGACTCTCTTCGGAAATAATAATATTCTTTGAGAAAAAGCCATATGTTGAATTTATTGCATGTATTGTAGAATCGATTATTTCATTTGGGGAACGCATTTCGACGATATAGTGTAAATTGCACTACACAAATACGCACGTGCACACACACACACACACACACACACACACACACACATTGTCATATACATAACATGTATGAAAAATAATAATATACATATTTTACGATACACAGTTACATAATATATTTGATATGATACTTTTAAAGAATTTTCACTGTTATTCATCGAATATATCGTATGAATGAATATATCGAATTGAAGCATGTGCGCAAGAGACGCTGAAACATGAGTAGTGCGCATGTACAATTTTTACCTCAAGACTTTTCTCATGGGCAATATAGTATGAGAAAAACATCTGCTTAATTTCTTTCGGCTGAATCGATTATTGAATTGGTGACTATGTCTCAACGATATAGTGTTAAATTACAAGTATAGAGGTCTAACGGCGATATTTCGCGTTTTACATTACAATTGAGCTAAATTACGGAAAATAACTTAAATTGCAAAACATTAAAATTGAAAAAGAAAAAGAATAGACGTAGGAAATTTAATCGATGATCCGAATGTGGTAGGGGTAGATGAATCTTCATCCACTTCATTCCCGTCATAAGTGTAATATTTAGAGCTAGCAGAGAGAAGATCATGGACAAATATTTCAATTTAACTCGGACTCTTCTAATAATAATTGGTCTCTGGCCTTATCAAAAATCGAAATTTGCTCAATATCGATATATTTGCATTTTTACTATAATTACAAGTGCTATTGTAGTTCAAGTATGTGTGTTAATATTCTAATTTCCTTTTTGTATATTATACATATTATCTTTCTATATGTATTACAAAGTATACACATATTAAATATAGAAAATTGATTTGGATTTACGATTCTTCCAGTTTGCAATTAATATTTACTTAATTAGATTACTGATTAAATTATACGATTATATGATTTAACATTAAAATCGTTATTCTAAACATATATCTATACCGAAATTTTCTATTGTGAATTTCTAATTCTGTTTTAATGTTACTATTTACATTTATTGTTACTATTTACAGTTTACAGCATTTATAACATTAAAATGTACCGCGGACCTTATCATAAAAATTTGCGCTTTTGCATTCGGTTTTTTCATTATAGACATAAAATACGTTTTGCTTCGCAGTAACAACAGAGCAGTAAGTTCTTCTACGTATTCTTTTTAAAGAAAGACAAATAAATATTTATAATAGTATAATGTTTTAAATTTAAATATATATTTTTTTTAATTTTACTAATTTATTAGAGATACACAAGTGGTATAAGAACTTATTAAAATAACAGGTAAAATATATAATAGAGTATCTTCAATATGTGTACGTGAATTTAAAAGACCATAACGAAATCGTTATTATAAAAGAATATGGAAACAAAGCAAAACGTCATACGATGGGACTTATAAGTAAGTGAATAATCTTGGGTCCTATTTATATTTATACAGTATATGTATGTTTAAATATGAAAGAGAAAGTAAATAGGAAATAACTGAATAAATTTACTAGTAAAACTTCAAAGAAAACAGTCCTTTAAAAATTTAAATTAGTTCTCAAATTAAAACACTTTTTCTATTTCTAATACAATTAAATCTAAATAACTTAAATACTACAAAATTATATAATACATATAGCCATATTAATACATTCAACGGTAAACTGCATTTGTATAATTATTATCCATTACTTTCTTTTTGGAAAAAGATTTGCATAGTAGTAACTTGTATACGACACATTAGTATTTTATCTCAATGTATATGACATATTAATAAAGTTGCGAGTTCTAAATTATTAAAGACGCTCTAAAATTGATCTATTTACATATTTATTACGTTATTTAGTTCTTCTTATTACCTACGTATTTACTCATGTAATGACACAACTGTGGCCAAGGGTTTATAAAATTGTTTTATCTATGAATGGATCTCAGCAACGCCGTTTGCATTTTGTAGCAGAATATTTTGTCGATCAAGAAAAATATTACTACTTACTTTTATTGCATATGTTTATATGTTATTACATGATACTATTTGTCCTACTGGTGACAGGAATGTCGTTATATACATATCTTCAGTATGCCTGCGGAATGTTCAAAATTGCTAGGTAAAAAACTGTGGCTTCAAAATGAGATTTTTAATCGTACTCATTGTTTCTCTCGACTCATCCTTGTATAGTACATAAACTAATTCCGAATTTAATTTATTACACTTTATTTTATTTGTTATCTAACTTCGAGAATATTATTTACATCTTGATTTTGTTAGATACAATAAATGTATGTATAGGTAATTAAAAATTAAATTTTTCAGTTATCGTTTCGAAAGTACAATGAAAATTTACGTATCACAAAATATTATGCAACGGAATGAGAATTTACTTCATAAAGGCATAGTACGTGCTATAGACATTCAACGAAATGCCATGATGTCGGTATTTATTTCATTATATAATAATGTTTTATAAGACACACAACACACACATACATACATATATAAATATATGTTTTCATTATATTTTGTATTATATTTAAAGGATTTGCGAATATTTGATGTCCACGTTTGAGGTAATGTTCATGTATTTAATAGGACTCGGAGTGATGCTGTTAACCCTTAATATTTTCCGAGTAAGTTTTGTTTATAACTATCTAACCATATAATATTAAATAAAAAGTTTTTTGTAAGCAAAATGAAACATTTCACATTTGAAGCTTGGAATTTTATTACATTTTCACATAAAATATACTAAATATGTATCGTAAAAAATCGAAAAGTACGATTGTTTATTTAAATTAATCATAAAATTAATTCAAATCGCAAAATTAATTACACAATTCGTTTATTAGGCTTTTCAGATTATATCATCGGGATATAAAATTGAAGAATTAGGCATGTGTTATTTGTCATCATTGAGTTGTCTTATATACATGTTTTTATCCAATTTTGTCGGACAAGAAGTAACGGATCACTATAATTACGTATTTGATACAATGTAGGAAATATTTTCTCATTATATTATTATATTATTTTACATTTATTAAAAAATGATAAAAATAGGAATTAATATTTTTATTTATTAATGATGTACGAAAACAAATATGTAATCTGGTATTACTCGTATCTTTGTTGTCGAAGTATTAATTTATTATATCGTTATGCGTTTAGATACAATATCCAGTGGTACTTAGCTCCTCTACATATACAAAAGCTGACGGTGTTTCTAATGCAGAGAGGCAATAAATCTTTCGGTCTAAATGTGGCTGGATTGTTTGTAGCATCTTTGCAGTGCTTTGCTATGGTAGGGAATATTTTTTATACGATAGTAAAATAAATATATTACATTCATTCTTCTTTCTCTTTACATACTTTGTATCTTCCTTCCTTTCAAAGAAACAAACGAAAAACCAACAATTTGTTGCAGTTGGCAAATTCATCTGTATCTTATTTTCTCGTCTTATATTCAATTCGGTAGTGATAGCAAAACATACCAACACCATAGAGATAAACTTAATAAGTAAATGATGCAGTACATATTATGTCAGAACTGCCGCGTGTCATGTAAAAATGTATGTAAATTAAATAACAACAAAATGAGTGGTTTTACAACAACTTTGTCTTCAATGTAAGAAGGACAATGTAACTAATCTGTAGAATCAATTATTACAATGTTAACCAAAATAGGTGAGAATAAGTTAAAATAAGTGATAATGATCTGATTGTATGTAATATTATATCTTTTATCTTGATTAACTGAATTTTTATTTAAAAACCTTGATCCAAAACGTAATACAACTTTTATTATATTTTTATATTTACTAAAATGCTAAAATTTTAGAATACAAAATTTCTCTTAATTTTTGCTTAAGTTTTTAGATCCATAGCTATAAATATCTTTAAATTCTACAATATCTTTTCGATTTAAAGAGAAAGGAACGAAGACAACGAACAACAGAAGAGTTTGAATATAAAGTAAAACTATTTATTTTGCGAGAAATTATATTATATCGTTTATAGGTTGTAATTTTCTAGTGGATATGATTTTCAAAATATTTTTGTTCTAAAATATCTCAAAAGTAACTTATGTTTGCACCTAATTGAAAAATAAAAAATGAGTACACTACCGGTAAATAAAACAGTCACAGTGTTATTTTATAATGTTTACTTCAAAACTTCTCTTGTAGATAATATTTCATGAGAAACATCTATTGAATTTCTCTCGTTATTGGTAGGTATTTTGATCTTCTAACCGCACTCTCTTGTTGATGTCTTATCAAAACTAGAAACCTGCCCGACTTGACTTGTTTTGTTGCTTCAATGTCATTGTAAGTTTTATTATATGTATTTCAGAATTTTCAGACACGTCGATGTTTTGGTTATACTATTGTAAAGGAGATTCCTGTATTTTAGATTAATGTATTATATAATTTGGCCTTTTTACTTATGTCGGAGCAAGTGTAATAGATATCACTACTTCTGGATGATGATCAACTGAATCAAGAACCTGGTACCACTATTTTTCTTCACTGGAGCGTGCATAGCTGTGTGAGAAATATGTACTGATGAAAATATACATCCTGTTTCAAAAGTGGAGGTCAATCACTCTGGAGGTGTTTGGAAACCAACAAAACAAGACAAGAAGTTGGTATGAACATAAATACATCAGAAACGCGTCCTTTTCAAGTTATCACCATTCTTATTCTTCAAATTTTTAATTATAGAATTACAATCAACATAAATAAATTCAAATAAAGGATTTGTGTACGTGTTTCTTGAATTGTTACGCATACGTGTAAGAACAGCTTAAAAGCAAATAATGTGCTTACATAACTTTCACCTTAGGTCTTGTCATATGGACAACATGAGAAGCACCACCCATGAAAGTAAAACATCTGTTAAATTTTCTTCGACATTAAATCGATTATTTAACCGGTGACTTCCTCGAAAGTGTTAAAGTGCGAATATTGTGACCTTACTTTTAATTCACACTGTTGCAGTTAGTCTAAATTAGAAAAATTATTTTAAATTATAGAATTAACATTTATACAAAGATATACATAGAGAATATTTAATTATTATTAAGGTGATAAACTAAATACAATAATAACAATTAATATTCATAATTGTTAAGTTTTATATTTATGCATTTGTTATTGGTCAATTCTAAAATATCTTCCAGCTTCGTTTAATAAATAATCGAAATGCAACAAATGTTGAAATATGCTTCATAATTCATACTTATGTAAACGAGGGTGTAATGAAGAACATGTGAAAATTTTTTATTGTTACAAATTATGTATACATACAAATGTACATACATAACGAAATGAAGCACGTGCATAAAAACCGCTGAGGCATGGCAAGTGTGCATGCACAGGCTATTACTACAGGGGGGACTCTCTTTTAGAAACGATATTCTGTGGGAAAGCACCATCTGTCGAATTTCATGCCTGTAGAAGCGATTACATAATTGGCGAACGTGTTTCGACGATGTATAGTGTAAATTGCAAGTACCACACAGACCTAACTGAGATGTTTCACGTCTTACCCTTCAATTGAGAAGAGGGAAAAGACTTTAATTATAAACTATATTAAACCAGTAAAATTCATGCTAGAAGTAAGAATATTTATTTAACAAAATGAATATAGTAGAAACAAGTAGATTATTTATCCATCTTTTTGTAACTAGTATTTTAGTACTACCAGAAAGTTGATCAATGTGGTGGATAAATATTTCAATGTCAACATAATTCTTTTGCTGATAATTGGTTTGAAACTTTACAAAATGTCAAAATTTGCTTGACTACACATAATATCCCACACAGCACGGGGAACTCCCGGGGAGCTTCTGGGGAGCTTATAAAATTTTCCAGAAGCTTCATTGAACTTTAAACGTACTCGCACGTAGCTCCCGGGGAACTTCATTTAAGCTCGCAGGGAGTTCAGAAAACATGTTTCAAAAACTCCCTGCGAGCTTAAATAAAGCTCCCAAGGAGCTACGTACGAGTTCGTTTAAAGTTCAAATAAGGTTTATGAACATTTTTATTAGCACCCCAGGAACTCCCCGGGAGTTTCCCGTGCTGTGGGTATAGTCATCAAAAATATATTTAGGCCTTTGAAGTTTATCCATGATCCAGACAACTCGCTGTCTGATTGGCTTGCCACTTATACTAATATGGGATAATTTTTACTTACGAGAAAGACTAATGCACGGTCGCCACGTCGCGTCGAGGCAATGAGTAATACTAGTACGAACTCCCTAGGAGCTTAATCGGAGCTTTGTGCTGTATGATCTACGCTTCTTTAGCATTCTTAAAACTTGCATTAATGAAATTTCAAGTATTTCATTAGAATTAACAAAACTTTGTCGTATCTATGAATATACTCGAGAATTTTTCCATCTATTTGAAATCAAGATTTTCTTACCCGTTTTATAAAATGTGTTATAGAAATTGTGTTATATTCTATAATTAAGCAGTACAATACAAAAAATATTCTTGGTTTACTTATGAATTGTAAATAATATCAATCTTATTCTTAAATATATACATAAACATAATATTATTTTCTTCTATAATCAAAGAAATTGCCTTTAGTTGTAACAATTTTTAAATAAGCTTTCCTTATTAGTTACTTGTGTGTGTGTGTGTGTGTGTGTGTGTGTGTGTGTGTGTGTGTGTGTGTGTGTGTGTGTGTTTGCGCGCGTGATTGTGTGTGTCAAAGTGTATGTAAATATTAAATAATGTTGTTATATATTTTTTATAACTCACAATTATACATACGTGGATGTAAAACTTATAAAGAACTTTTACTATCATGGGTCGAATGTATCACATAAATGAATATATCAAACTGAGGCGTGTGCGCAAGAGACGTAGAAACATGAATGGTGCGCATGTACAATTTTTACCTCAAGACTTCTCATGAGCAATATAATATGAGAAAAAACATCTGCTTAATTTCTTTCGTCTGAATCGATTACTAAATTGGTGACTATGTCTCAACGATGCAGTGTTAAAATGCAAGTACACTATATAGGTCTAACGGCGACATTTCGCGTTTCCATTACAATTGAGCTAGATTATGGAAAATAACTTAAATTGCTAAACGTTAAATTAAGAAAAAGAAAAAACATTGTATATTTAATCGACCAACTGAATATGGTAGGGATAGATGAGGCTGCATCCACTTCATCCCCGTCATAAGTATTTTAAAGCTATCAGAGAGGAGATCATGGACGAATATTTCAATTTTATTCGGACCCTTCTGTTAATGATTGGTCTGTGGCCTTTGCAAAAATCGAAATTTGCACAATATCAATATATGTGCATACTTGCTATAATTACAGGTGCTATAGTAATTCAAGTATGTGTTTAATGTTTCACTTTTCTTTCTGTATATTGTATTATCTTTCTATATGCATTACAGTAGTATATATTAAATATACATATAAGAGTGATTTTGATTTGCGATTTTGCCATATTTTCCAATATTAATTTACAAGTAACATTTTCTTAGTTAGAATACTGATTGATGAATATTTATATGTACTAAATGTTTATACTATTTATAAAAACACATAGACGGTTCTTAATTTATATTTACAATTTATAGAATATAGATATAGATAAAATATAGAATATATAGAACATAGAACAATATATAAAATATAAAAACTTAATATGAAAACACATAAAGAAATTTCTTATATCTCATTTCTAATTTTATTTTTGAAATTTTGTTATTTACAGTTTACAGTATTTATAACTTCAAAATGTACTGCAGACCTAATCATAAAAGTTTTCGCTTTTGCATGCGGTGCTATTATTATAGAAATAAAATACATTGCGTTTCGCATTAAGAATAGAGCGGTAAGTTTGCCTATGTATTTATTTTTAAAGAAAAACAAATACTTAAATATTTTGGATAAAGTTTTATATTTACATATATTTTTTTTATATTTTACTAATTTATTAGAGATACACAAGTGGTATAAGAACTTATTAAAATAATAGGTAAAATATATAATAGAGTATCTTCAATATGTCTATGTTAATTTAAAAGACCATAACGAAATTGTTATTATAAAAGAATATGGAAGCAAAGCAAAACGTCTTACGATGGGACTTATAAGTAAGTGAATTTTCTAGTCCTATATATCTTTATACATTATACATATGTTTGAAACATGAAGGAATGTAAGAAGAAACTGACCGAAAGACTCTAGTCTAAGTCTTTCAGAAAAACATTACCTTTACTTGAAAAAGTTAGAATCGTTCAAATTAAAATATTTCAAACAATAAAATAATAAGAAACTTACGTCAATTAAATAATATTTTCTAAATTACAAGATTTTCAATTTGAACTTTTCCTATTTCTAATACAATTAAATCTAAACTACAATATTATACAATTTATATAGCCATAGTATTGATGCAATAGCAAACTGTGTTTGTAAAATAATTCTGCATTCCTTTCTGTTGGAAAAAGATTTGCATGTTATTATCTTGTAATGTATATGACATAGTAATAAAACTACCAATTCTGATTTAAACGCGTACTATTTATATAATATCTTATTAATTGTGTTATTTAGTGCTCCTTATTAGCTACATGCTCATTCATATATTCACACAATTGTGGCCAATATTTTGTAACGTTGTCTTATCTATGAATAAATCTCATCAACGTCGTCTATATATTATGGCAGAATATTTCATTGATCAAGAAAAATATTTCTACATACTGTTCATGCATATATACATATGTTATTACTTGGCACTATTCATTTTACTGGTGACAGGAACCTCGTTTTATACATACCTTCAGTTTACCTGCGGAATGTACAAAATTGCTAGGTAAAAATATTTAACATAATAATTGTACTAGACGTAGAAATAATTTACAACATTATTTAATAAAAGGACAGAGTCATGTTTTCCATCTGATAAAAATCTGAAACTTTAATATATTGTAATATTATAAGTCACTAAGTAAATAGAAATGATAATTAACTCATTAAGAGAATATAATTCTTATATTTATGCTCATATGTATACAGTAGCATGTAAAAGATTCTTCATATTGATTTTTTAGTTTTTAAATGAACTAATTTTTGACGAAATTAAAAATTTTAATGATATTGAAATAAATAATTTAATAAAATAAAACACTTTTCTATTACCTACATTATTACTCATGTAATGGTACTAAGATGGTATAAGAATGGAATTTACATTTATAAGTATTTGTATTACCTTGTGTGATTAACTAATATAACTTTCTGGAACAATCTGTTTGGTATGTGGATTTTCTTTGACGCAGCGAGAATTGATCATATTTGATTTTAAAACCTTTTGGAAGTCATGGTGTTACGAATTATTAAATTCCTTTTAATGTGGGCTACGCTACCAGATAAAAAATACCTACATCTATATTTATAAAAAATGCCATTTAAGATTACGTTGCTAATTTAAAAATGACAAATTTTAAATTGAAAATAACCTGCCGAAAATATCACATTTAGTTTATCGAATAATGTTATACTTTTTTAGATATTTTCAAAAACTCTGTCTTTAAATAGAGATTTTTAACCGTACTTATTGTTTTGTCTTGACTCATCCTTGTACAGTACAAAAATTAATCCTAAAATTTATTTATTACATTTTATCTTATTTGTTATCCAACTTTGAAAATATTATTTGCATCATGACTCTGTTAGATAAATGTATGTAGGTATGTATAATTAAAACTTTCACTATTCACAGTTATCGTATCAAAAGTACAATGAAAATTTACGTGTCACACAATACTATGCTACGAAATGAGAATTTGCTTTATAAAGGCATAGTACGTGCTATAGACATTCAACGAAATGCCATGATGTTGGTATTTATTTCATTATATAAAAATGTATTAAAGATACGCGCACTTATTGTTAGACAGACGCACGCGCACACACATACACAAATATCTTTTTTATTTGTTATATATTTTTGTATTAAAATTTATATTTAAAGGATTAACGAATATTTAATGTCCACATTTGAGGTAATGTACATGTTTTTAATAGGACTCGGGGTGACGCTGTTAAGCCTCAATATTTTCCGAGTAAGTTTTATTTCTTATTTTTAAATAATCTAAATAGGATGATATTAATTAACGTTGGTTGATTTAAAAACTAGTTAATTGTTCTCCAGCTCCGTGGCTTTCTATCTTTATATAAATATACATTGCCTAAATATGTAATCCTTAAACAATTGTAGGATTTTTATATTTTAAATAAATCCCAAAATTCGCCTCTTAGGCTTTTCAGATTATATCGTCGGAATTGAATATTGAAGAATTAGAGATGTCTAATATGGCAACACTGAGTTGCGTTTTGTTTATGTTCTTATCCAATCTCGTCGGACAAGATGTAACGGATCACTATAATTACGTATTTGATACGATGTAGGAAATATGTTCTCATTATATTATTATACTTTCCAATGATTTTAATTTTAATGATAAAAATAGAAATATTAAAAATTTCAATTGTTAATACAACGTCCAAAAACAAATACATATATGTATATGCGGTATTACTCGTATCTTTGTTTTCAAACTATTGATTTATTACGTCATGTGTCATTTGTGCAGATACAATATCCAGTGGTACTTAGCTCCTCTACATATACAAAAGCTGATAGTGTTTCTAATGCTGAAAGGCAACAAATCTTTTGGGCTAAATGTGGCCGGACTGTTTGTAGCATCTTTAGAATGTTTTGCTACGGTAGGGAATAATTCTTTTTATTTATTTCTTTCTTATATCTCTACTCTCACTTTGTCTTTTCTTCTTTTTAAAGAAACAATAAAAAACAAACATAATTTGTTGCAGTTGGCAAATGCATCTCTATCTTATGTTATCCTTTTGCATTCAATGCGATAGTGATAGCAAGTTATATCAACATCATAGTAATAAATTTAGTAACAAATGATGCAGTACATCTTATGTAAGAAATATCGCGGGTCATATAAAAAATATATGTAAATTATATAACATAATAAGAAGTTTCACAATAAGTTTTGCCCTAAATGTAAGAAGTACAAAATAATGGTATTCCACACAATCAGTTATTACATCTGAACAAAATATACGAGAATAATTTAAAATAAGTGATAATGACTTGTTTTATGTAATTTTGTATCTTGATTAACAGTACTGATATGTTTTAAAAACGTTTCGATTAAGGTACATTAATATTATATAAAATTAACAAAAATTATATTTTGTTTGATTAAACTTGATAAATATATGAACAAATATAAATTAATATATGCAGCGTTTTTATCCTACTATCTAACTATATTATTGAAACAAAAATTACATTAGGTTATAAAATAAAAATAAGTTTATTGTCGACTATGAATGTCTATTCTTTCGTTGTAAACTTTAATATATGAGAATCTATACTGTCTCATCGAGAAATGATAATGTTAATTTAATCAATATAATATACTAAATATGTATAATAGTTTACGTAATGATATGTAAGCATATAGGACATCACAATGAAAAATCATGATTTTGGATTTGATATGATTTATTTTCGAAATAATTTACAATTTTGCATAGGCACTTCTATAAGACTCCATTCTAGTATCTTCCTTCCAATAGGTTATCATACATGTTTTATTAGCATTTTACTATGTAGTAAATATGTATAATATTCATAAAATAATTCACATTTTTATAAGCGCACTTTAATAAAGTTTGTGTAAAACTCGTTTGTATAACAAAAACAGTACAATGTGAATATATTGATATTTTTAGATTTCTAAATATTCATCTTTTATTACATATCGTTTGCCGTTGCATTTTAATGTTCATTGAAGGCGTTTGAAGACACTTTCATGTGCCTTAAATGAATATTATATATGTATAAAGGCAACTATTATATTTGTTTTTAATTTATTTTCCAAAATAATAATAACGAAAGACGCTTTAGAAACATGTGCGCACTCTTCCACGCTTACTTATATTTATTTTCATCCATTTAAATTTGGATTTTCTCGAAAATTATCACTCATTATAAATAAGCTTTCCTTTTTTCTTGTGCGCGTGCGTGTGTGCATGCGCGAGTGCGTGTGCGTGTACGTGTATGTGCTTGCGCGCGCGCTGGTGAATCAAAGTGTATGTAAATATTAAATAATATTATCATATATTTTTTACAACTCACAATTATACATACGTGGATGTAAAACTTATAAAGAACTTTCACTATTATGGGTCGAATGTATCATATAAATGAACTTATCAAACTGAAGCGTGTGCGCAAAAGACGCAGAAACATGAATAGTGCGCATGTACAATTTTTACCTCAAGACTTTTCTCGTGTACAATATAACATGAGAAAAAAACATCTGCTTAATTTCTTTCGACTGCATCGATTACTGAATTGGTGACTATATTTCAACGATGCAGTGCTAAATTGGAAGTACACAGGTCGAACGATATTTCACGTTTCCATTAGAATTAAGCTAGATTATGGAAAATAAGTTAAATTGCAAAACGTTAAATTAAGAAAAAGAAAAAACATTGTATATTTAATCGACCAACTGAATACGGTAGGGATAGATGAGACTTCATCCACTTCGTCCCCGTTATAAGTATTTTAAAGCTAGCAGAGAGGAGATCATGGACGAATATTTTAATTTAACTCGAACCCTTCTGTTAATAATTGGTTTGTGGCCTCTTCAAACATCGAAATTTCAACAATATCAATATATTTGCATACTTGCTACAATTACAGGTGCTATAGTAATTCAAGTATGTGTTTAATGTTTCACTTTTCTTTCTGTATATTGTATTATCTTTCTATATCCATTACAGTAGTATACATTTGTAAGAGTGATTTTGATTTTCGATTTTCTAATATTTTCCAATATTAATTTGCAATTAATATTTTCTTAGTTAGAATGCTGATTGGTGAATATTTATATGTATTAAATATTTATAATATTTATAAAAGCACACAACTGTTTCTTAATTTATATTTATAATTTATATTTACAGTAGTATATATGTATATTGTACAAGAGTGATTTTGATTTTCGATTTCCCAATATTTTCCAATATTAATTTGCAATTAACATTTTCTTAGAATACTGATTGATGAATGTTTATATGTATTAAATATTTATAATATTTAAAAAACAAATAGCCATTTCTTAATTTATATTTGCAATTTATAGACTAAATATGAAAACAGTAATGTAAAGAAATTTCTTATATGCTATTTCTAATTTCTTTTGGAAATGTTATTATTTACAGTTGACAGTATTGATAACTTCAAAATGTACTACAGACCTTATCATAAAAATTTTCTCTCTAGCATTTGGTATTATTATTGTAGAAATAAAATACATTTCGCTTCGCATTAACAATAAAGCGGTAAGTTTGTCTATGTATTTATTTTTAAAGAAAGACAAATAAATATTTTGAATGAAGTTTCACTTTTACATATATTTTTAAAAAATTTTACTAATTTATTAGAGATACACAAGTGGTATAAGAACTTATTACAATAATAGGTAAAATATATAATAGAGTATCTTCATTATATCTACGCTAATTTGAAAGACCATAACGAAATTGTTATTATAAAAGCATATAGAAGCAAAGCAAACCGTCTTACGGCGGTACTTATGGGTATGTGAATATTCTTATTTTCTGTTTACATATATGTATTAAATATAAAACATAAAGGAATGTAAGAAGTAAATGACCAAAAAACTCTAGTAAGGCTTTCAGAAAAACATTATTTGAGAAAGTTAGAAGTGTTCAACTTAAAATATTTCAAACAATAAGTAAGAAGGAACTCGCGTCGATTAAATATTTCCTAAATTAAAAGATTTTTAGTTTGTACTTTTCCTATTTCTAATAGAATTAAATCTAAACTACAATATTATGTAATTTTTATAGCCATAGTATTAATGCAACGGCAAACTGTATTTGTAAAATAATTAGGCATTCCTTTCTGTTGGAAAAAGATTTGCATGTTATTACCTTGTAATGTATATGACATAGTAATAAAACTACCAATTCTAATTTAAACACGTACTATTTATATAATATCTTATTAATTGTGTTATTTAGTGCTCCTTATTAGCTACATGCTCATTCATATATTCATACAATTGTGGCCAACATTTTGTAATATTATCTTATCTATGAATGAATCTCAACAACGTCGTCTGTATATTATGACAGAATATTTTATTGACCAAGAAAAATATTTCTATTTACTGTCTTTGCATATATACACGTGCTATTACATTACAATATTCATTCTACTGGTGACAGGAACCTCGTTTTATACATATCTTCAGTATCTCTGCGGAATGTTCAAAATTGCTAGGTAAAAATATTTAACGTAATAAAATTAGTAGACATAGAAATAATTTATATCATTATTTAATAAGGGGACAGACTGATGATTTCCATCTGATAAAAATCTGAAAACTTAATTTGTTGTAATACATATTTTTGTTTGAGATTCGAATAACCGTCGGTAGCGACCCTTGAGTGGTCCGTGATAGTTATTCATTTTGCCGTGAGAGAGCGGTAGTGAGAGAGGATACGAAAAGTAGCGAAAAGAAGGAGAGAGAGAGTTAGTTGTGAAAAGAATCAGAACGATATTATTTTAGTTTTTGTTCAAGAGAAATTTTAGTTCGCATGAATAAAAGCTTGTTCTGTCAAATTCACGAGTTGTTATCCGACAATTATTGGTCACTAAGTAAATAGAAATCATAATTGTCTCATTAAAAGATTGAATTTCTTATATTTATACTCATATGTATACAGTAGCGTATAAAAGTTTCTTAATAATGATCTTGTAGTTTTTAAAGAAATTAATTTTTAACCAAATTGAAAATTTTAATGATATACATTTAAATGATGTAATATAATAAAACATGTTTATATTGCCAAAATTATTACTCATGTAATACTATTTGATAAGAATGGAATTTACATTTATATAGTATTTGTATTACCCTTGTGTGATTAATTAATATCATTTTCTGGAACACTGTCTGGCATGTGGAATTTTTTTGTCACAGCAAGAATTGATCATATTTGACTTGAAAATCTTTTGGAAGTCATGGTCTTATGAATCATTAAATTCTTTTCAATGTAGGCTACGCTACCAGATCAAAAATATCTATATTTACATATATTTATAATAAAATTACATTTAAAATAAGTTGCTAATTTAGAAATGACAAATTTCAAGTTGAAAACAACCTGTCGAAAAAATCGTCACATTTGGTCTTTCAAAAAATGTTATATTTTTTTAGATGTTTTTGAAAAGTGTATCTTCAAACAGAGATTTTTAGTCGTACTCATTTTTCTCTCGACTCATCCTTTTATAGTACATAAACTAATTCTGAATTTAATTCATTACACTTTATTTTATTTGCTATCCAACTTCGAGAATATTATTTACATCACGATTATGTTACATAGAATAAATGTATATATAATTAAATATTAAATTATTCACAGTTATCGTATAGAAAGTACAATGAAAATTTACGTATCACAAAATGGGCTACGGAATGAGAAGTCGCTTTATAAAGACATAGTACGTGCTATAGACATTCAACGGAAAGCCATGATGTTGGTATTTATTTCATTGTTTAATAATATATTATAAGACACAAACAAACACACACACGCGCGCGCGCGCGCGCGCGCGCGCGCACACACACACACACACACACACACACACACACACACACACACACACACACGCGCGCGCGCGCGCGATTGCCTTTCTTATTTGTTATATATTTTTGTATTAAAATTTATATTTAAAGGATTGGCGAATATTTAATGTCCACATTTGAGGTAATGTACTTGTTTTTAATAGGATTCGGAGTGGCGCTGTTAAGCACCAATATATTCCGAGTAAGTTGTGTTTATTATTTTTAAATAATTTAAATAGTATCATATTAAGTAACGTTGATTGATTTAAAAACTAATTAAAATTGTTCTTGAACTCTGTGACTTTCTATCTTTATATAAATACATTGTATAAATATGCAAACTTTAAAAAAGTGTATAATTTTTAGATTTTAAATCAATCACAAAATTTGCTTGTTAGACTTTTCAGATACTGTCATCGGAATTTCATATTGAAGAACTTGGGATATCTAGTTTGATGTTAATTAGTTGTATTATATATATGTTTTTATGCAATCTGACTGGACAAGATGTAACGGATCACTATAACGATGTATTTGATACGACGTAGGAAATATGTTGTCTCATATTATTATTATATTACTTCACAATGATTTAAATTTTAATGATAAAAATAAAAATATTGATATTTTCATTTATTAATATAATGTCCAAAAACAAATATGTATATGGTGTTACTCGTATCTTCGTTCTCAAACTATTGATTTATTACGTCATGTATCATTTGTGCAGATATAATATCCAGTGGTACTTAGCTCCTCTACATATACAAAAGCTGATAGTGTTTCTAATGCTGAAAGGCAACAAATCTTTTGGACTAAATGTGGCCGGACTGTTTGTAGCATCTTTAGAATGTTTTGCTACGGTAGGGAATAATTCTTTTTATTTATTTATTTCTTATATCTCTACTCTCACTTTGTCTTTTCTTCTTTTTAAAGAAACAATCAAAAACAAACATAATTTGTTGCAGTTGGCAAATGCATCTCTATCTTATTTTATCCTTTTGCATTCAATGAGACAGTGATAGCTAGATACATCAACGTCATAGTAATAAAAATTTAGTAACAAATGATGCAGTACATAATGTATAAGAAATACCGCGTGTCATGTAAAAATGTATGTAAATTATACAACATAATAAGAAGTTTCACAATAAGTTTTGCCCTAAATGTAAGAAGTACAAAATAATGGTATTCCACACAATCAGTTACTACATCTGGACAAAATATACGAGAATAATTTAAAATAAGTGATAATGACTTGTTTTATGTAATTTTGTATCTTGATTAACAGTACTGATATGTTTTAAAAACGTTTCGATTAAGGTATATTAATATAATATAAAACAAAAATTATATTTTGTTTGATTAAACTTGATAAATATGTGAATAAATATAAATTAATATATGCAGCATTTTATCTTAATTTCTAACTGTATTATTGTAAAAAATTACATTATGTTATAAAATGAAAATAAGTTTGTTGTCGACTATGAATGTCTATTTATTCTTTCGTTGTAAACTTTAATATATGAGAATCTATACTGTCTCATTAAGAAATGATAATGTTAATTTAATCAATATAATATACTAAATATGTATAATAGTTTTCGTATAGATGTGTAAGCACATGGGGGGGGACATCACAATAAGAAATCATGATTTTGGATTTGATATGATTTATTCTCGAAATAATTAACAATTTTGCATAGGCACTTCTATAAGACTCCATTCTAGTATCTTCCTTCAAATAGGTTATCATACATGTTTTATTAGCATTTTAGTATGTAGTAAATATGTATAATATTCACAAAATAATTCACATTTTTATAATCGCACTTTAATAAAGTTTGTGTAAAACTCGTTTGTATAACAAAAACAGTACAATGTGTATATATTGATATTTTTAGATTTCTAAATATTCATCTTTTATTACATATCGTTTGCCGTTGCATTTTTAATGTTCATTGAAGGCGTTTGAAGACACTTTCATGTGCCTTTAATGAATATTATATGTAAAGGCAACTATAATATTTGTTTTTAGAATTTGTTTTCCAAAATAATAATAATGAAAGACGTTTTAGAAACATGTGCGCACACTTCCACGCTTATATTTATCTTCAACCTTAACAGTTGTGCTTATTTCTAAATTTTATCTACATTTTCTATTTCATTATTGGCTTCTTATAGATTTTTATTAAGATTAATCCGATTTATGTATTCCAAGTCTTGTTACTTTTATCATTTGTGATAAACTGATTATTATTTATGAACCTTATTTTTCTCTCTTTTATCACACTGTACGGCGATGTAGACACTACATCTTACTGACAATAAACTTAATTATAATAAGATAATGCTACGTTGGCACGCTCATCGCATAACGAAATTGATGTACAAAAAGTATATATAATAATTATATAATAATATTATAAAAATATATTTACAATAATTTAAAGTACATAGATTTTTCTCAAAAAATGCCGCACATTCGTCGCGCACTAAGATTTATCATTGATACGCTGCGAGATTGATATTTTGTCTCCATTATCAAAGAGAGACGTATACTTTAATTTTATCCGTAGACAAAATACGAAATATCTTTATTATCCATCTTTATTATACAATATCTAATTCTAACAGTTACCATGAGCGGAATTTTCGAGGTACATAATGTTGTAAATCGATATTTTCAAATATAATACATTACATTAGTGGCACTTTTCAAATGCACCTCATTTAAGATAAAGGCACTTTGTATTCTTGTATATCGCGACTATAAAATTTTTCTTCACATAAAAATATCCACATTGACTATGTTAAAATTATAAAACCAATCCTACTATTTAAAAACAGTTGATTTTTATGGAGTAGATCAGTAGTGATATTATATAAAATACATATAAATAAGTATGATAGGATTTGTATCTTCCTTATTCTGATATCAGAACAAAAGTTCATATAAAAATGTATCAAATTCAGAATAGAGTTTCTGAGATGGGACAAGTTAAAAATACTATTCTCTCCACTGAAGTCTTTCGATTTCAAGAGTGAAAGGTTAATTAACTACAGACCTAGGGATCTTTTGATTCCGCTCCGTTGAATTATTTTTTAGATTGAATAAAAAGTGAAATCTATGTAAAGAAAATAAAGACAAATGCGTTATTTACTCGCATGTCGCTTATTAAATTGCATCAGTTTCATTAGCAACTTAAAATCTTGACATACGAGCTCCAAAATTAATAAAGTTGACAGTGGCATTTTTTGATCTTTGTTATAACAGTGAAAATTTTTTATTAAACTTGATTTATAATAGTAGGTAATGTATTAATTATTTATCTGAATCTCTTTGTATTGATAATTTTTGTTGTATCCATAATTTAAATTAAATGTAAAAGTAAATGTTTCAACAACATCTTTTTAATGCTTGGAAGAATATAATCTTATCCTACTTACAGTATGTCCATTTCTAAAACAGATTATTACTCATTTTCATATTATTACTCATTTTAGTTACGTCTAGCAGCTCGTCATTAAGACACGAACAGTAAAATAAAAATTTTGAACGCTGACATAATAATCGAGTCAAAAATTGCAACTAAATTCCATCAGTAGTGCAAATTATTCAAATCAAATTTAAAAGTAATTTTATTTAATTATGAGTCTTTCGATACCTTTTATCACGCTATGTATTAAACTTGTCAAATGTATATGTATTAATTTCTGAAGCTGGTTACACTCGTATCATACTTTACTCAAAACTTTATAGTCTCTTATAAATACAATTACGAGTCAACTGCTTTCATACGAAACTATGAGCATCTTAAATTTTATCAAATGTATTAATTTATTGTTTTCGAAGTGACCTACGACCACTTCAGACCTTTTCTTGATGTACCCGAAAATCTGCAAACTAAGGATCACCAGTCCCTGCATGGAGTTGTCATTGGTGTCATGATAAATTTTCCCAAATATTTAAAATATTTTAATTGCACTCATTGTAAAGTAAATTTTATATTGAAGATACAACTTACGTTACTGCAATAATCAAGTAGAAAACTGTTTAGGCGCGGCTGTTTCATCGATCGATAAAATTAAATTGGCGCGTCTCGTTAATAGACATAGGTCATTGAATCATTTGTAAATATCTGTTTTCTTCTAGTAAAGAGCTAAGCGAAGACGTCATGTCGTTGACAACCATATTGGCGCTAGCTGGCAGAGGTTGCGGCAACGACAACGGATGCGTCGAGCTGGATACGTTGGTCTCATGGGTTTGAGCGTTAACGGACCAGTTTCTACATTGCTGAACGTATTCCAATGTCCTGCGATAGGAGTCTTGTCTCATACCTTGAGGTGGTTTTATTGGCGAGCCTTGTTGCGACTGGCTAATATCTCTGCATTGTATCTCTGGCAACGGTCCACCATGTTGATCGTGATAACACTGATTTCCATAAGTCCATGCGCAATTGCAATTGTACTGAGCCGGAGGATTCGTGCGTGTTTGACAATTATGTGTGCAGGTTTGTTGCTGCGGTGGCATTCTGCAGTTAGTCTGCTGAGCGTTACAAAGTTGTGGTGACGTTCTCTTTGACCCGCTGCCACCGTCGTTGATCTGACGATGCGCACCGCCGGGATGAATACAGTTGTTGACCTGCTGGCAGGGCGCTGTGGGCGATTGTTGAGTCTGCTGTTGACAGCTTTGAAGATTTGTCGCAAGCGTATTCATCGGTTTGCCCTGATTCGCATGATTCAATTGAGAGCAATGGGGTGACATTGGACCGCACTGATTAGCTACCGTAGACTGTTGGGCAGTGTGTACATTGGACATCTGACTGTTGGGTGTTGTCATAGGCCTCGCACACTGACCGGAGGATTGATTGCACTGAGCGTTTGGATGGGCAATAGTCGTTGTGTTGGCCATGGGCGCGGTTTGCTGAGTACAATGCGGTGATAATTGCTGGCAATTATTTGTTAATCGCATCTGTACAGTGTGATTGGATGATGTGCAGGTTTGAGTAGAATGGTGGCTAGCTGGGCTAGCGGAGCCATTGCAGTTTGCGTTTATTTGACCCGCGCAACCGTAGCCTGGATAGTAAGGATGATGTGCGTGATTCTGAGGACAATTTCGGGAAAGTTGGGCAGAGTTCTGGGGCAGGTTTTGCGGCGCGTGCTGTGGCGCCAGCGCGCCGGCCGCGGGGGATGTTAACGGCTGATCGCTTAAGTGAGCTGAGGCATAATGGGAACTCGGTGACATGACTTGACCCGCGGCTGGACTCGCTACTTGTCCACCAGTGACTTGAGATCCATAATTTGGCGGCGGACAATACTGCGATGGAGGCTGAGTCGTGCGTGAATTCGGGCATTGGCTGTAAGACACAGACGAGGAATTCTGATAGTTCGGGCATGGTTGTTGAACAACTTGCTGAGAGGAGTAGCAGTTCTGTTGGTGTGACTGATGCGACTGATTGTAATTGCACGTGGGCTGCACCTGTCGCTGATAGTGCAGAGGATTCGTGCATATCGGCGATTGGCAAATCGGTAGTGGGCTACCGCGATAACTGACTTGATTTCCGCCCGCTTGAACCTGTAGTGGCAATTTCAATTTTGAGATTAAAATAATCAGTACGACAGTAGTATTACGCGAATTTAAAGCTTACTTAAAGAACACACCGGCATGATTACCTGATTCAAATACTGCATCATTTCGTCGGGAATAACCAGCTTGTTCTCCACCATCTCACCCTCACCCACCTCGTCCAGGATCACCTCCTGATTGGGATGAAGCTCGGGCTGAAGCTCGGGCAGCTGTGCCGATCTCGGCCTGGGCGGAATCGGAGGAGAAGTCCTTTGGGTTGGGTTACTGCGAATGGGTTCGGACATCCGTCGATCACTCGACGGTTGAGTGCAATGTCCGCTCGGATTGTTCCATTCGTTTGGCATCGCCTGAATGCTCTGCATAAAAATGTTACGTCGTTTAAAACCGCTTTTCATCCTTTCGCGCGACAATCGTAGCATGAGGCATACCTGCAGGGACATGTTTTGCGTTTGAACGACGAGATTATTCGTCGAGTAAGGCCCCTGAAGATGATTCTGATCGATCCTGCTGGAAGTGGTGCTCATCTGGCTGCTTCGTCTAGATGTGCCCGGACTGATCGGATCGTAGAAACTTTCCGGTCCTGGGCCCATTCTAACAGCGCTAACGACACTCGCCTGGCTACTCCTTCTGCTACTGAGATCTGCCGATCTCATGCTGCCGTAACCCGAATGGTAAGTGCTGACGGTGCTGTTGCTGTCTCTTCGCGGCTCGCCAAACGGCTGCAACCTAAGTTGAAGATCGGACAGGCTTGTCTGCCGCGTTTGGCCGCCGCCACCCTCCATCTTCAAATCGGTGATCCTTTTATTGAGATCACCGATGTTACCCTGAGGTGCGACACCGTGAATCCCGCGTATGTTCGCTACGCCAATCGGCATGCTCGGCACGCCTTTGACGTTCAGTCTTCCTTTCAGACGATTCCTCGACGTGGGCGCCGGCACTTGTAACTGCTGCTGCGATTCCATGCCGCCGACCTGTGGATAATCGAGACAGTGTCATCTAAGCGTAGAAGTGGAAGAACATCAAAAGAAATCTAAGCTCCAAGAAAGGCAAGCCTTAAGAAACCTTTCCTCTGTGTTTTTCCTATTCAACGAAATCCATGTTTCTCGAGCGATTCTAGAACTCACCATGGCACGTAGCGCTACAGGAAGATCAGCGATGTCCAAGTCATCAGGTTCCTCGTTCCACGGTTCTTCGGCGAGGGCGATCCCGTCGCCGGTGAGGGCACCCATTCCCGCGACCTCGTCATTACAGCCACCCACCAGCGGACTACCCTGCTGCTGCATGATGCCGGGCGGACTGTTCGCTTCGCTTTCGGACTTGACGCTAGGACTTGAGAGGCTGGGTGTCTTCGGAGGCAGATCCTCGCTTCTACTGGGGCTGTTACCTCCCGCGCCGGCTTCATCGCTGCCGCCGCCGTCGCCACCGCCGCCACCCTTGTGCTTCTTGTTCGCGTAGAACTCGGCACCGTGAACAGTCTTGACGTGCTTCCTCAGCGACGACGGATCTGTGTACCTCTTCGTACAGCCGGGGGCTTTGCAAATGTACGGTTTCTAGACAAGGAAAGTCGATGGAACCAATAAAGCAGATATAAAATTTTCAGAAAATAATCTCTTTCTCAACAATTGTTCAGTCTATCACAGGCCAAAAGACAATTAGAGACTGGTAATCTGCGAAATTATTATTATCTTGCAATTGGACCTGTTTTTCGAAATTGTTTTCAAATTTTCTCTCTTATGACAATTAGGAAGAAAAGGTATACCTCGCTAGAGTGTGTTCTGTTTTGATGCTTTGCTCTATCGCTGGCGTTGCTGAAGGCTTTAGTACAGCCTGGATACTCGCAGGTGTATGGTTTCTCGCCGGTATGAGATCTGAGGTGAGTCTTGAGGTTTTCCAATCGCGAGTAGGCTTTGAAGCAACCCTCGAACTATATTAAAAAAAGATATGTAATTAGTTCTGTAATATAGAGTAAGTACAATTCTCGAATACGTTTTTTTCGATAACCAGTTGTAGATGTAGAGATAAAAGAAGAATACGAAGAAAGAAAAAGAATTAAATCTTTAGGGAACGCAATATACTGTATTAAAAAGTCCTCTTAACTCTTACATCGCGCTACTTTGCAGACGAACTAATTGCTGCGCATTTGTTCCAACTGTTTATCGAAACGAAAATCGTACGCGATTCAATCTCCTGCCCTAATCTAGTTATCAGCGATCTATTTCTTTTCTAAATTAATGACGTCTCACCGTAGCGCGTGAGACATAATAGAATATAATTGATTCTTACTTTTAAATCTAACCAATCGCATTCACTTATAGCGAATTCGACCGCTTGCACTAGTGCGCGCTCAGTGCACACTAAGGCCTGTTTCTAGTAAATCTTTATATTTAACTTTGTCTTAAATACATGTTCAAAGAGTATTTAGCCAAAAAAAAATGATCCGTATGGATGCTATACAGTTCATTTTACTGATTAAATATTTCAAGAGATATTCAAGACGATCTTTAAATATAAGAATTGACTGTAAACAAGCCTTAACGTGTACTCGGTACGCACTAGTGCAAGCAACCAATTCGCTATTACTCGCTGAGTGAGCGGTGTAGCACCGAACGCACTCTACGTAAATCACGTGATCATATTTCGGAGCGCCGCGCCGGTTAGTTCGCGTCGCGCGTTTTATATGTAATTTAATGACGCGTTGCTCCGCGGTTTTACGCCTTTGTTCGCCCGTCCCGCGGTAAATTCAGTGATTCGAGAACGTCGAATTTAGCGACATTCCGTCGCGCGAGTCGGCACGGACAGCCACGATCGATTGCGCTCAGCATTCGCGACTGGCGCTGCGTCGCATCGCGCCGTTTCGTCCCCGTTTTATAAGATGTCGCACACACTTCGGATATTGTGCTCGTCCGCCTAACGCGTTCGGTACGCGAAAGAATGGCGAGAGACAAGCCGCCGCGACGCGGTTTAATCGGGAACGCATAACCTCTCTTGTCTCTTGTCGACAGACGCGCGTCGACATTTCTCAGAATGTCGATCGGGAACGCGTCGCGCGTAACGGGGCGCGAGTGACAAATGCGTGGACGGAGAATCCTCAATTAATTTGCTCGCGCGCCGATTTTCAGTGCTCGTAATTGTTGCCGCCCCCGTCGTGCGAATTCGGACCCGACTAATGAACGTCCGGGGCGTCGGATAAATACAGAAACAATCGATTCGCGGCGGAGGGCTTGTGGGTTACGGATGCATCGAGACAGCGGCGCGAAATCGCCATGACGCCGAGGCAAGACGCAGCTTTTCGACGACGGTGAGTCCGCTAAACAATTTACGGAAAAAATACTTCGAATTAATTACTAAAAAGATACGATATCTTTAATTGCGGATTCTTGAAATTTGGCGAAGCACAGAATTAAGTTGGCCTGCAACGAAGGCGCGTCCTTCCCCTCTTTTTAATTTCGTCCTCTCAACATTTTTGTAAAATCGATTTAAATGTAGGGACAAGAAATACTCTTCCCTTCGGTTCTCGTCGAAATTTTGCTAAGTATCGAATCGCAATTCGAATGAGGCGAAAAATATATATTGCCGTTTAATCATATTTTATCGGAATCAAGTCGAGTGAGCAATAGAAACAATTTAAATAGAGACGAAAGGGATTATTAAAGTTTTTTCAATTATCTAGAATCCTATATAAGAGACGTTTTAGTCCTCGCGAAGAATGCAATTTGCAAAAGTTGCTTCTTATAGACGTATGATTGATATTGAAATTGATACTCCGGGCTCCGCAATCGATCGCTGCGTTTATTTAAATGTTTTTAATGGCTGGCGGCGAAAAGTCGTAAGTAGAACGCGCGCTGCAATAATAAAAATAGCGGTTTACGAAATTTCTCGAGGTCGCTCTGCCAGCATTTAGCGCGCGTTGGTGCGTGATTGATTAATAGAAAAAAAAATCTTTCGGGCGGGAGAAACAAGTAAGTGCTTTACTTACGGTACACTTGTGCGGTTTTTCACCCGTATGCCTTCTCATGTGCACGACCAGCATGTACTGGGCCTTGAAGGGTTTTTCCTCCCTCGAGCATTCCTCCCAACCGCAAACAAAGCTCTTCTTGTTGGCGTGTATGTGATCGTTGTTGATATGTTTCACGAGATCGTCCTGGTTTGGAGGGAGACGCATGCCAGATTAATGTGGATAAGACCGAGCCTCTCGACGAGGTACACAGAGATAGTATGTGATATCGTTTTATCTCTTTAACTCCCCCTTTCCCCTTCTCGTTAAATAATTTTAAGGGATACCTCAACATTACGTGTGTAAAATTGATTATTTCAATTAACATTCCGCCCGCGAAAACCCCGAAAATTGCAGTATAGAAATTACGATCGTTCATTTCACTGCTGGCGTCCGCTCGTTGACTGAAGAAACGAATGATTAAGATATCGTCGCACGTCCGTATATTACCTGCGTAGGGAACTCGAGACCGCAGTCTCTCCAATGACAATTCGTTTCGATGAAGTCACCAGGTTCGTCTCTGAGGTCCTCACTCGGGCTAAGACCTTGAGGGTGAGTCGGTGGGGCGGTAGTGGTGGTCGCATTGGTAGTCGTTGTCGCCGGTTCCCTCTTGACTTTGGTGGCAGCCCGCCTTGAGGAAGTGTCGGCCTCGGCCGTCACCGAGCGAGTCAATGATTCCGAAGCTTTTCTACACGACTCTACGCTCTGTGAAAAAGAGTGTTTGAGATGTTTTAAATATAAATAGCGATTTTAATATAGAGGAAGGTCCTTTATTACGAGATAGACTCCTTATACAAGGTAGTAGGGTTTCTGCTAAATTAATAGGCGTCGTCTGTTGGCTCTATCACGTATTTATTGTCCTTGAAATGAAATCTATTTAGTGGAAAATTCACTGTTTGATTTGTGATTGAATTTGGATGTTGAAAACCTACTATCTCATATTAGAAAAGGTAAGAGCAAAAGGTAACAAAGGTAACAAAACTTGACGAAAGGTAAGAAATGTACCTACGTGTAGAAAGATAGAGAAATTTTCATCGCTGAGACGGTCAACGTTAACGAGAGATCTCTTAAATTCGAGTTGAGTTTTTACTTTTCGCAATTTCAATGGACCTCCTTCCATCACCAATCATTAGGATCGCTATATATTTTTTTTTATTTGAATTTTTTCCATCAGAAGCTCGCAGAATATGAGATGAATGTGATGTCTGTAACTCCAGTGATGGTGTACGTTCAAGTTAAAAAATTCGCAATTACATTCAAGTTCCAATCGTTCGTTAATTATGATAATTACACCAGTTTATCATGAATTCTCGCTGTCGCACGACGCATGCAATTTCGCAATTATCACGTTTATAAAACACAGTGATTCGGTCGATTGTTGCAGACCGTTATAAATCGTTCGCGTTGCTACTCTTTCTTCCTTTTGGTCTTACGCACTCTCTCTCTGATAGAGACATAACTCCAAATACTTGACTGAACGCGTGTACCTGCAGGTTTCTCCACTTCTGCACTATGTTACGAATGTTACGCTACAGGCTGACATACGATAAGTAATTCAAGCACGCACTGGCTAAGCTACACTTGAAAGTAGACCAATGAAAATAAGAATAGGAATGTAAAACGTTACATTTTTAACACTTACTCCGGCTTTCATCAACGTCGTTGAACTTTGATCTTATCGTTAGTTTAATTCATAATTCTAAAGGGAGAGACACAAAGAGACAAAGGACGAATTAAACTAATTGTAAGATCAAAGTTAAATGACGTTGGTGAAAACTGGAGTAATACCCGTTTCTGAGCGGAGAGAATTTTCCGAGGGGCAAACCTCTGAGGGCATTGTGGTGTACTAGTAATTACATTCAGTATCTTAGTAGTAAAATGTATGGTGAAATTTCAAAAACTCTCATGATGTTCAAAATGCCACGTTGTCTCACGATCACATGATTTTCAGGACAATTTTTAAGAGAAACTTCTCTCCGTGCACCAACGCGGATTAACTTTAATCTCGATTCAACTCACTTTATATCTTTTTCTAGTTTTAAAAATTAGAAAACGATGAGAAGTAATTTAAACCGAGATTAAAGTTAATCTGCAGCGGCAGAAACGGGCATTAATGTATTTAAAATAGGAGTAGAAATGTCAAGTATCATATTTTTCTCACTTAATGTGAGCATCTCTAGGAATACTTCATTTGCTTCTTGTTGCCAAGCGCGAAATAATTTCAGCAGAAATTCAGGTTCACGTTACTTAATCAGCTTTGCAAATAAGTGTTAGCACACTGAAAAAAATTTCTGGTTGAATATGGACGAATCAGATAATTCCTTTAGGATTTACCAGAATTTCTGTAAGATTACAGGAATTCTTGTAAATCCTAAAGGAATTCTGGTAAATCCTAAAGGAATTATCTGATTCGTCCATATTCAACCAGAAATTTTTTTCAGTGCAGAGACGAAAGTAACAAGACTACGATAAGTGTTTTTAATAACGATACATTTCCGAGTAGATAAAGCTGATGATACGTGAGAGAGCTATTGGTGAGAACTTTTTTATGCGGAAACTTTGATATTTGCGATGATAATTCGGCGCTGCTTGTGAATTTTTAACATATAAATGACTCCTCGTCGTTAATGTAGTCGAAAACGCGAATAAATCGATAGGCAATCGGAAAGATTGAGAGAAATATAAAAACCTGTTTGATCTCTTACTACACAGCGCGCGTTATACAGCTAGCGTAAAAGAATATACCCGCGTAAACATGGATCGCGTGAGTTCTTGCTCGTATAAGTACGCGACGCGCGTATACGAGCACGACGACAGCGGAACACGGCGGTGGAAAGCAAAACGCAAACCCCCGATGCAAATCACGGCCGGTAAACTTTACAGCGTGTGGACGCGGGGCAGAAAATGAAAACGCCGCGCCTACGTCGGCGGGCGCGCGCGGATGCAAATAAATCAGCGCGGGTCCGCCGCGCGACTATGGCGGTAGAGAGGAAACGGACGGAGACGTGGAAGCGACGGCCCAGAGTAAAGGAAGGAGGAAGGATCGGGGCGGGAGGGAAAATAAAGGTGCGCTATAGGAGGGGGTGGAATCGGACGAAATAATGTGCGCGAGATTGCTTGTAACCCGAGGACCCTCTCGCGAGAGAGTAACCCAATCTTTTTCTCCCTCTCCTCCTCGGTCCACGTTGTTCCATTGTCGCCCATCGTTAGACGAAGCCAACGGGACGTTGAGCTAAGAAAGGTCGAGTGGGTATCCGCGATGGGGGGGGAGGGTACAAGAATACGATTATTTATTCCCAATGAATATCGATGACGGGCCACCGAGCGCATATCGTCGTACCCTCGACTCGCAATAACGATCGAATGGCACTCTCTGCTTCGCCATTGCGAGCGTATTGCGCTCTCCTTCTGCCGTCGTGAATTAACGTCTATGCGCCCGCGATACGCTCGTTGCATCTAATATCGATTAAACCGTGCTTCCCGTCAGGATGACTTAATTACCGATATATTTAACGGAAAGCGCTATTTGTCACTTTTTAATTTTGGAGCTCACACGTTGGCGGTTTTGAGTCTTTTCATTGTTGTTCTCTCTTCACCTACCTCACTTTTCGGGGGCATTCCGGCCCCGTGCGGGCTGAGCGTCGCCGACGATGTGGAATGAGGCGGCACACCGGGGTACAATTGCGAATGTGGGGATAGCCCGTGGGCATGGGGGTGCGTATGAGGATGCGGCGGTGGCGGTGGCGGTGCGGGTGGCTGCAAGGGGTGCGCGTGAGGTAAGAGCGCCGCTGCGGCCGCGCTCCTCAAAATGTGGGCCTGGATCTGCTGCAGGTGCGGCGCCATGCTGGGATGCATGCTTAACGCTGGACTCATTGCTGCGACACAATACAGATCGGTTAATTACTTATCGATCGCGAATTACGTTTTTTATTTCAAGGAGAACGCTTTGGCAATGTGATATTTGCATCCAAGTCATACGTAAATGCCAATGGCTTTGCTGCAGCAAGACGAAAGACCCCCGTGGTATCACATGATGCAAACATTTAAAAGATACCTGAGAATTTACGAATATTTGGCAATTGATGAGCTTAATGCCTTACACGAATCGCTCGAATACGGTTGCGATACAAGAATAACAACGAAATCGGGCCGTATGTCCGTTCTTTTGACAGTCCGCGCACGACACGCCGGACTTCCGGCACGTGGGCTAAGCTTGCATTTCAATCGCGAGCCTATGTTACGAAACCATAAAGTAACCGTGCGTAGGTGTACCATTATACTGTGCATACATGGTAGCTCGAATAAGCTCGTATTTGTTCGACTGTAATCGTATAAATTTATATGTTAATCATATTTACATTATGCTTTTATAATAACCTATAATAGCCGGCGTAGCTTTGATTGACAGAGTACTATCAATAGAATCTGGCGAATTTAATTTCTATTAGCTACGGTGCAAATGTAAATTGGGATCCCTGAAAATTGTGCGGAGTAAGGGCGAGGTGGATAGGAAAGGGTGACGAAGGTAGAACAACGGTGCAGGTGGTGTGTATTTCACAATGGTGTGCATGCATCGAAGGCAAATTTAACGAGCAGGAACATCCTGCGGGTATTCGACGATGCAACGCCGACAAACGACTGGCGTGCCACGCCGCCTGAATTTTAATTCGTTAATTACTTCATTTAATCGCAAATTACCGGGCGTTCTTAACTCGCAAGCAAGAAGGTTGCCGCCTATATAATAGCTTCATGTGCACTGGTACTGTAATACGTCGCCGCCTACCGCCTTCGATCGTTCCTTAAAAGCGTACCTTCTCGCTCGAGCCACAATGACAATGTGCATTAGCCCTTTAATCCCGTCACGAGAAATTATGTTTGCTATAAATCGTGACTCGATGCCCAATGCGTCTTCGAACAATCGTGAAAAGAATTGATTCTCATTTGTAATAGAAATTTTGCGAAATGGTTAAGTTGTACGATGATCGATTGATTGAAATGATTGATGGCAAACGGACGTTTTACTTACCAGCGGAGAGATGTCCGTAGCTTCCGCTCGCGCTACTACTTCGCGAACCGTTCACGATGGACGCCAAGCTATTAGGGCTAAATCGAATCATGCTGTCGATGTCGAACCTGTCCGAATACGGTGAACTGCTCAACGCTCTCTTCCGACTCGCCCTGATGGCTGAGGCTCGCGGACTTCCTAGTCGCGACGATGCTGAAACTGAAATTGAAAAAAAAAAAAGAATTTAACCTGACACTTGTAGATAGATGTAAAAACCTGCAACTTTCAGTCTCTCCCATTACTCTCTTTTGACCCCACTCGCTCGCCATTCCTATGTCAAACAAGCTGACAGAATTTACAATTTAATTACCACTGTCACGTGCTAACATGATCTTCCTTGGAACACGCATTTTTAACATTCATCGCTGAGGTGGTAATCGGGTACACAGGTAGGAAGAAGTCAGATGGAAAGTGAAGAAAAATCAAGAATGTTGAGTGTAAGAAGAGAGAGAGAGAGAGAGAGAGAGAGAGAGAGGGGGGAGGGGGGAGTCGAGAAGACCGAGGAGAGAGCCCGATCTTGTGGCTTGAACGTTTTAGCGGCGATTTGCCTGCGACCGCAGCGTAACGACGTAATATACAAACCACTTTCTTAAGAGCGTGGTGGCGGCTCGCTTGTACGTACCATCGTTGGTTACACGGTGGCGGTTACGCTCTCGCGTCTTTCTCTCTCTCTCTCTCACACACACACACACATACACACACACACGCACACTCTCGTCTCTCTTTCTCTTCTCCTACCCTCCCCCAACCCGATTTCTTGCTCTACCATCGCGGGATTAAGCCGCGAGTGCTCTCTACCTCGCTTTCGTACCCCTTTTTCTTCCATTATTCCTCCTCGTCCTCTCCCTCTTCTCCCCTCTTTACCCTTCTTCTTCTCCTGTGTAAGGAGCAACGCGATACACAGAAGACGAGCACGAGAAGCGAGCCTACCCTTCTCCTCGATTTCCACTCGGTTGATCGCTCGTTCGCGCACAACGGGTATAGAGTTACTCGCAGTTGGAGATCCCCTTGCTCGCCTTCTTCTTCCTTTTTTTCTTATTCGCGAAACCCGCTCTCCTCCTCCTTGTCTCGTCGCGCCGGCCTACACGGAGGGCCTCTCTGCTTTGTCCCCTTCATCGGTTATTAATTCGGTCAATGATCAAATTTACGGTGGTCAACGGCGACGGTGGCGGAACGAAAACCGGCGGCTTAACTGCCCTGCGGTTTTTCCGCATGACGTGGGATGCATGCTCAATGAACGATTTATCGGCTCACATTGCTACACTTGCTTTCTCGTAACCTTGTCGCCGCGGTACCCTGGCATTACGTCCGATCCGGCTTGACACTTGCGATCGTGACGTTTTCCAAAAATGTATCGAATCGAATTAACGAACGAAATTTAATGAAACCTATCGTAAGACGATCGGATTTTTTCACATTGTCTCGCAACAGGAATCGATTATCTCATCCGCCGAGACGAAAAAGTTCGCCCTACCGTATCCGGTTCGCGTCGCGTCGCGTCGCACAGTTCTCGCTGACTTTAATGAATATGCGAATGTGGATCCTCCTTCGTTCCTTACCGTTCATCCCTCGCTCGGTCTACCAAAGTACCCCTTTCCCCGCGAGTTCCAGGACCCCGACACGCTCGATAAGTTTCAACTCTCCTCTTCTTCGCTCCCTCGCACAGGTCGAACATGGGATTGAGACATGTAAATTGGTGCAATCGTGCACTCCGATCGGCGCGGCTCCACCGATGCTACTACGCGAAGCATGCCTTGGCAACTACAGCGCATTTCAAACAATATCCTGTCCGAGTGTTCAACCGAAGCTCGTTCGTTTCAACTCTAAGGCCCGGTCGTTCAACTTTAAGCTTGGCTCAATTCATCCATTGTCTATCTCCAACTGTTCCCTTAGAAAGAGACAAACAATGAATTAAACTAATATTAAAATTAAACGACGTTGTTGAAACTGGGCCTCAGCTTCGTGTATCTCAAATCTATTTAATACCTTAAACTGCAAAAGATTTAACGTTTAACGCTGGAATATTTTGTTAAGGTAGACAGAAAATTCCGAGTGTTCGATTACAATACCACGATTGTTGAAAATGCACATATATACATTTACATGCGCGCCCGCAAACGTGAAAGTCGCGCCTAGTGAAAAGATTGAGTCCGAGTTAGAAAGAGAAGATAAGGAGGGCGGGAAGAGAAAATGTGAGACAACCTGTAGGGTAGGCGCTAAGGTGTTAATGAGGTCGTGTCGCTCCGAGTCGATTCAATTATGCGGCGGTGGCGGCTAACGAGGCCCCGTTTACCCTTTCGGTCGTCTTTTAGCCTCTCGGCCTCTTAACCAGTCGATCTCCTACCTGCCGGTAGTGCCACTACACCTATGGCTAGGCACGGCACACATAACTCAGTCACACGTACACACGTCAGCGTGGACATTGAAGAGAGGATACACTATTATTGGACTTACCATCAATGGAGAACGGGAATTCGGACGATGCGAGGGTGCTGGCAGGACCTGCGTGTAAGAGGTATTCGGGCCCCAAACCACCCAGTCCTGAAAACAGAGAAAAAGGAAGAAAATAATATTCGCGTAAAATGCAGCGACGAATTGGGCGAGTCGACGAAACCTATCGTCTCGGTCGTCGCTCGAAGAGGGAAGTAAAGCGCGTTATTACCGCGGCATAGATCACGCGCGACGAATCGGGTTCGAAGCGCCTTTGTACGCCGGAGGAGAGACTTCCGGAGGAAATGCGGGTCCCCCCCCCCCTTTCTTTTACGGGGCCTTCCGATTCGTCGTTTGTCGCAGAAGAGGTAACGGATAGTTCTTGTGTTCGGCACGCAAACACTTCTATCGGTACGTATACATATGCTGCCAGATAATTACCGTGTAGTGAGGTGTTGGGACTGTGTGTGGAGGCCTGGAGTTGATGGTAGAGGTGGTCCATGTAGTTGATCCGGTAAGCGGGATGTAGGGCCGTATGTTCCGCAAGGGGATGACTTCTACGTAGAAAATCACCACCGGTCCCGTTGCCGGCAGTCCCGCCCCCGCCGCCACCGCTGCCTCCGCCACCACTTCCGCCTCCGCCGCCACCCCCGCTGCCGTTACCGTGTGTTCCAATCGCCGCCGAGCTGCCGGATAATCTGAAAGGCGCAAACGCGAATGTAAAGTTAATCGAAGATGCAAGGTCAATTCGCTTGCGGCTGTTAAAAGTAGCGAAATCCATTCTCGGGAATTGCTAATAGATGACGGTAAATGTCGTTCTCCATCCCCTGCGTATGATAACTCTCATTAACGAAACGTATTTCTGCCGGGACGCTGGTGATTTACAGCGAGGAGTAAAAAGGAAAAGTATTCCCGTTTGACGGATGAAATTACGACACACTTGGTGAACGCGACAAATGGCGCGTGTCTCTTCGTCAAAGCTCCTATTCGCGTCGTTTCTTGACGCGGACAGGTGTTTTCCATCAATGGCACGGTCGTATGATCAAAGTATAACTTTGTTCGCGGGATAAGATAATGCGTTTTTGTTTGTCGTTCTCACTGAGACGTCACAATGCGCGCGCTCGTTCGTTTCGAGGAACGGAGGCCCGTGATCCAGAAGAGAGGAAACAAACCGTCGCGAGAGAGGCAGCGCGCCTCGTTTTGAATGATGGCAATTCGCCACGCTCGAAACATCGAGAAACGATGCGTGTCCGGTGCCTTCAAAGATCCTCTTCCTCGACGCGCCCGGGTTCTTTCGCACTCAGACTCCACTAACGGCGGTCTCGTGCGAGTGGACTGGCATATTTCAAGGCAGTCAAAAACGTGCGCTTATATATCCTTGTTAAATATTACAACACTAAATCAGCGCATTTAAACACCAATACGCGCAGACCTGCGCAGTGACAGGTATGAACGATAAAACGTACGAACTACAAAAAGACCTATCGTATTCTTCGAAATATTTGAAACGCCAAAGACTAATTCCAAAAATATTCTTCTTTCAATTATCATTGCGGACTCTTTTGTTTTAATTCTTTATAAACATGCACCCTCAGAGAGATTTCTGTTACTGAGACAAAAATATTCTCGACGCATTTATATTACTCACAACCTCATTTAGTGTAAAGACAAGATCAACGCCCGTTTACAATCAATCTCAATAGCGTCAAATTTCACGATAATCAAAGCAGATGTTTACGGCCAAGTTATCGAGACGATCGGACCGTTTCTCAACGAGAGAATGAAATTTTCTCAGCTAATCGAGCCCCACGATCAAACACGGAGACGAGTACCGTGCGTGGAAGAGAGTCCTGATATCACAAGACAAATATAAAGGTCTAATTAGCCGGCAGTGATTACGGCACGTCGCGAATGATAAAGTAAATAGCACCTTGCGGAACAGAGACGGAGGGACGATTGGCGCGTGTCGCAACGTTTTAAGGCGGATTACGATGTTTGAGTCGGTCGCTGTCTAAATATTGGCTCCGCGCTTCCACGAGTTTGCTGAGTAAAGACAACCGGGTCGGCTGTTTGACTTTGCTCAGTGTCCACGGATTTTGATTACTGCCTGTTGGCTGCCCGCTTACAGTGGTCGAACGTGTTAAAACATTTGTCGCGATACTCGTTGACAGGTCGAGGGATCTCTCAATTCCGCATCGCTCTTGCGCCTCTAACAGCAGAAGAAGATGCAAAAGCATATATTACGACACTGCCGCGCTTTTGAAGCGAAGATTGTAAGTTGTTAAATTATTACGATTATTATGCGATAATATTAATTAACTAACTCGTGCGAAACAATGAAAATATATTAGCTGGGGAAAGCGATTTAATCGTTTCCTCTAATAAAACGGCGTCGCCGGAACAGAAATTAGAACGCTTTGACAGGCTGCTTAGTGGCGTATCCTGTAAAAAAGTCGACTGAGAGAGAATCGGGAGGGACACCATTACAATGAAAACATCGTCGACTCCGCCGGGTTTGGCATACTCGTGTTCTCCGTTTTTTCTTTTCGCACCGAGAGAGAAATGGCCGAAAGAGAGACGGAGATTGAGAGTTCCCGCGGTGGCAAGAGAGAAGGACAGGGTGGAAGATGGAAAGGGAAGGAGCGAGCTGTGTCTATTTCCAATCCTGCTGACTGCCAGATGACTCGAGGTATGGCTCTGCCTCTGGCTGCTGCCCTTCCTTCCTTTTCTACTACTCGCCTCCTTCTCCCTTTGCAGCCACCGCTTTTAAGCGTCTCTGTCACACTCCGCGGGTTTTTAAAATATCCACGAATCCGACGACACATATCCGACGTGCCTGATTTACTTTCTTCGGCGAAGGAAAAAAATGCTAGATGCTGGATGTAAAAATCGCAAGAGCCAAAAGTGCATTTCATATTGAAATCAGTTATTTCATCCGAGACGATAGCGACGTAATAAATAATTCTCATTATTTGCATTTACAATCGTTTGGGTCGATTCTTAGATTAAACTACATCGAATGTATGGTGCGAGGAAAGGTATATTTTCTCCCTCGTCTTTGCTTTTAATTTGCCTCTTATTTTCGCTCCTCTTTGTTCCCGTCCCTCCGAAATTCGCGCTCTCCCTCTCGCGCACGCGATCCGTCCGCGGCTCTCTTCTTCCATTCATTGCCACGCCACGGCTTTCCGTCCCCGTCGAAACAGCCCCCACCGACAGATAAAACTCGAGTCGTTAACTCGACACGCCGGAAACCGACACATCTATCTTTATCTACGACCCATCCGCCTCGGGAACCCAGGGATCTTCTTGAAATTCTTATGGCCGCCGCTCGTTCCTTCTCGGTGACGCTCATATTGAAATCGTTCATTTCCGATCCTTCTTTCGAAGCTTAGGTCACTCTCGTGGTCACTTTTCGTTGGTGATTTCTAAACCAATGCAATTTGTATTAATCCCGTGGTAAGCTATTCTCTGTACACATGCGAATGCAATTCATCGTAGAATCGCGCAGAAGAAGTACGACTGCCGATAGTCGGAATGATCGAGCAGATGAGAATTTCTGGAAATTTCAGCGGCGATAATTCAGTGATCGCTGAGCAGACACGCGACGTCTCGGTCGGTTTAATCTCGGGAGGCAGAAAGGGGAGGAGAAGGGTCGGCGAAGCTGGGTGAAGAATTAAGGTTCGCAAGCTCATTAACGTGACTCGTGGTAATGAGGCGAGCTAAGCGGTGCCCGGGAACATCTGCCCGGTTTCCCTGTTGCCTCGGAACTTGAAAAAGAAATATAGAGACCGCGACGACGGAAAGAAGCTCTGTGGGTACGAGGGGCGAGCCGAAACGGGGTAAAAGGATGCGGCTTAAGCACGAGCCGAAAGCCGATCAGCGCGATGTGGTAAGGCGAGAGATTAGGCCCTCGCCGAACTTCATCCCTCTCTACATCGGATATGCGCGAGTCGGTGTAAGATGACTCCTTATAATTTGCGCCGAACGATAATCCTGTGACTCGTCAAAAAAATTGACGCTCCATAATGAGAGTTGTATCAATCCTTACGATCCCGAGGAATCCTACATCATTAATCCTCGTATTATTGCTCGGATAAGTGGCGCATGTATTTTCTCCGTTAGCCAAGGCGACCTTTGATTCAGAAGAACGTTGAAAGTGCGGTGTGTTCACGGGGTCTCGAGTTATAATATTTATCGCTGTACATTTGCTGTACGCGAGAACGCCGTGGGAAGGGGAAAGAAACCATGTGGCGCGAGGACCGCATGGCAGTGCGAGTGGCACGCGATTCAAACGCGACCACGGGAAAGAAGAGGAGGAAGAAAGCTGAAGATAATGACTTGAAGGAAAGTGACACGCCGAGGGATTATCATTTTTTAATATAATCGCCAGTCGCTGCCGCGCGACAATATGGATTACCTCCCCGGCGAGTTACTTGTGGAAACCGTTTGGAATCTGTAGGCGACGAGAAGTGGAAATAAACAATGCCATTCACGTCCATTTCCCTCGCGGACTTCTACGGTGGCTCCACGCCACATAGGCCAGTCGTTGGTGGAGCTCCGTGCCGAGCTCGAGATAATTTTTCGCAACTCTACACACTCTTCGCGGGTGATCTATGGTCGCGATCCTGGCCTCACGCCAGAATCGCGTTTTCTCGACTCGGGAGAGTGTCGGCGACTCGGATACCGTGGTGAACGTCTTAAGCCCCTACTACGAAAAGTCGTGAAACGTCGCGGGCCTAAAGGCTGGAATTATTTTCGATGGACACGCAGATATAGTTTCTGCGCTTGGCGCTTATGCGCGGGGTCGCGGGGTTGAGTCGTATAATCTTATATTTAGCGCCTCGGGGCCCTTCGAGTTACACCCCTCTGCGACTTCGACGAGTCCAAGTGAATTTCGTGTCGCGAGATCACTCGTACCACGCGAAATCCCTGTGACTTTCCTCAATTTATGAATTCCAAGTTTTTACATTGGGTTGTATGTACGGTTTAAAAAATAGTGACGCGCGCTATAATAGCGATGACTAAGATGAGCAAGACTTGGGAAGCGCGTCTCCCGGCAATAAGATTACGCGCTCTAGAATCGGGCGCGATGCTTTCAAAACGAGTTCGGAGCGCAAGAGGAAACTCGATTACGATCAGGCAGAGCCTCGTTAATCAAGGTATTTACACGCGAGATCGGTCGCCGGCCTATCGATATGCGAAACGTCGCCGCGGATCGATCGGAGCCGCGCCTTCGCTGCAAATCCGGCCTAACGGCGCACTATATGCTCGCTCGTAGTGTTATTTATAGGCTATTCGAACGCTGCGTAGCGCGCGTCTCGCGTACGTGCGTTTAATTCATTTGAGCCGGAGATTCGTCCTCGGATACCTCGTGGAAGACAAGCCGTGCCGCTCGTAAGTTATGTGCGAATTAGCAGTCCCCGCTATTAGCACGCGCAGTCGGGACATTTTTTCCTCGCGGAAACTTTCAGATTTAGATATCACTTTGTAGGCTACAAGTGTACCTCCGTTTCATGTCGTTCATGTTATTACATTTCCATGAAACTTTACTCGCTGCATAAAGTCACGCGGTATTGAAATTTACAAGCCGCAAATTGTTGTCGTCGTATCAATCGCAATTAAACAAATTGGGTAACGAGTAAAGATTAATCTGCCTAGACTATGTTTAAACATAATAGAAACTCGGAGTAATGGTTAT